CTGAAAGCCAACTGTACAGATCAGGGCATCAGCATCATTACCCCTCCCCTGGCTGCTTAGCCAAAAGTTACTGCCAATTCATCAATGGCTAAGAAATGGATAAAACTTATCTCTGATGTGGAAGAGTGGACACCACCCCTGCTGCATACTGGCTGGGAGAGATGCACAGTCCTGGGCAGTCATTCCAGTCTCCATGATTCCATTCCAGTACAGCAATTAGCACCCCAGTTAAGAGATGCACTTTAGGAAGAGGTGTGCGAGTAAATATGGTAAACTAGTCTAGTTTTAGAAGCTGCATAAAATATTTTTCATGCAGCAGAAACCATCTTCCAAACCCTACCCTCCCAACAGAAAAAAAGCACGCTAAGCTTTAAAATGGGCAGTTCAAATTCATAGTAGGATTTTCCCCTTTTAGGTCCCGGTACCTTCTCCTTGTTCACACGTGAATATGCCTAAACTACTTTGAAAATATGCATCTTTCTTTGGGTCTCACAGCAAATGTTTTTGTCTTTAGAAGTTGGCTTCCTTTCCTCATGAAAAATATTTTATCAGAACAAAGTAGGATTTGACAGAGCATAAAGTCTTTAAATAAATTAAAATTTGGTTAATATGAGAATTGAAAGCAAACATCTCTCTCTTTCTGTATGCAGTTATTGGTTCAAAGGAAAAATAATATTTACCACTGTGTTACGTTTTTCTCCCTGCTGCTTCTTCCCTGAGCTTTCAAAGTCAACATTCTGTGGAAAGCAAGGGGACATAAATTTAGTCACTATTCTGTAGAATTAGTCAATAAGCTGTTTTTTAAATGTGTAATATAGTCATCTTACATCCAAGTCATTTAACATCACCAGCTTCATTTAAAAAGATTTGACAGATAGCAGTCTACAAATTTATGGAATGTGAATGGTTTCTCAGGTGACATACAAAACATGCCTCTGAAGCTGAGGGCAACTTCGCTTTCTACCTTGAATTGACATTTATTTTTAGGCCATCCCAGATAATTTTTAAACAGTTTTTAATATACGTTGGCAAGTATCAATAAACTACAAAAAAAAGTTACAGAATTCATTGTAACCATGCTGAGAAACATCTATCTAATGTAAAATTTAATCTTATTTACATGAGTGGAGTTCCCTCCAAATGATTCTGAAGACAAATATTTAAGAAACAAAAATGATAAATCAGAAATTAATGTAGTATGAGATCACATTTTTTCATGCGTTAATCATTAATTTCCTGCAGAATTCTCTCAGCCAAGATTAGACAAGGCACCCTACCCAACATTATTTACATTGGACTAAAATTACCATATTTGCTCACATGCTTAAACATAAATGTTTTCCTCAAAAACAGCCCCTCAAATTGGGTCACATGACTCAAACAAGGAAGCTGATTTTCTGCCAAGGATAGAAGCATTCCTCTTTGATTCCTGCTCACAGCAGCAGTGGTATTTCTATTCAGGAAGTGGAGGAAGTCAATTGACTTAATGGTTCATTGTTTTGATGTTAACAATTGCCTCTCCTTTTTAATGGTCTTGATGTTCCACCGATCAAGCTAATCTTTCTTCTGGCAATTTTGCTGTTTTTTAGCTACTCCTTTCTCTCACCTCCTATCTCACAGCTCTGCAAACTGCTTTTAGTTAACTCTTTAAAATCACAAATCCACCCATGGAGACTAGCCTTTGGCAGCTGCTAGAATTTCAGTTTTTGATTAAACAGGGAAGGGAGGATGAGTGAACCAAAGATTAGGCTCTGTCCCTAACTCCATACAGCCATAACTCTGGAAAAAATATTTTTTCTTCATTCTGCCTTCCCCAAAGCAAGAGGGGTACAGTATGTGAAAAAATATGATATTTATGGTAAGTTTTAAATAAAAAGGTCTCTGACAAAAAAGATGTCTAGTGAAGGAGACATCTTTTTTCAACTGAACACTTGTATGTTGGTCCAATAAAATGGAGAATTTTATGTACAATAAAAATGAAAGCAGTAAAAAAAAAAAAGCCTGTAAAGTGCCCTCTCCCAATATCATTCGCTCAAAAACATTTTCTGCGGTTTTAACAAAATCACAAACAATCATGCATCAAGAAGTACAAGTCAGTTGAAGTATTTCTTTAACATGTATACAGGACATAGATAAAAATAATGCTTAAGCCAGACAAGATTTTATTTAGGGCAGATTCCTACCTCAATTTTCCTTTGTACATTTACTATTCCTTGTTCATCTACTTTAATTTAAGCCAACAGTCAGCCATAAAAATGGTGGTAAATAACAGGGCTTAAAAATCACTCATGTGCCTACCTAGTGCTACAAGCAGTGAAAATCAGTAATCCTAATGTACTTTACATCAAGACAGAGCAAGTTGACACTGGGCATAACCTTATTACTCATCTCTTGGCACTACTGCTGAGAGCACACAGGATGTGGTTGGAAACGGTTTTAGTAGAAAGAGTGCTGGGGCACTGCTGTCTATTGCCAGTGTTACTAGTCCATACAGTGTACTGTTCCCCTACATATTTTTCAAGCCTTAGCAACTTTAGTCATGCAATTTTATGAGAACACCAGTTTTCATTTAGTAAAATCCTTGCCATCGATGGTTACAGAAAGGACTGAAATGTAACCCAAGAGTACCTTAAAGGCTCAAATACGACAATTAAAATTTCTTTTTAAAACATTGTGTTTTACGGTATTACCATAAATAGAAAGCCATAGATAAGGGTCAAACATAGCTCTACGTTTCAAGTAAAACTGTTTGTGGCTAGTACATTTTATTCCAACAACTCCTATGTTGTACGAGACATATTCATTAGCAACTCCCATTACACGTGCAGATTTATTGCTATGCTATCATCTGTTCCATCTCATGAGGCTATTGTTAAACTGAAAGGGTAATGCCTTAGTGATATCAGCAGACTTAAAATTTCTCAAGGATAGACTCAGAAAGAAAATTTCCCGCATCCTGGCTTGTTATATATAGCCTTTATCAGAAGGTAAGTAGCCCTGAGATTGCATAATCAAAGAATGCCTTCTAATACCAACTACAGGAAACCCTCACTATTAGCTGATTTGGCATTTGCGGTTTCAAATATTCATGAATGCTGAACCTGTGTCTTAAAATACACTTACAGGAGCGCCGCACTTGCTGCGGCCGGGCTCCCACCATCGCCAGCACAGCCGTGCCCCCACCCCCAGCCACCAGGGCACTGTATTCATGAACGCAGACAACGTTCATGAACGCAGTGCCGTATTCGCGGATTTTGCCATTCACAGGGATCTGCAGAACATATCCCCAGTGAATGGCAAAGATCATCTGTACACATGGAAATATAAGGAGCTATTAATTTTCTCAATGTCCCTGCACTGGGATTCAAAAAACAGAAAATGACCCTAGCCCCATTAACATTCCCAAACTCTCCATTCAATTCTTAGAATTACCAGACAAAACACCAAAATAAGTTTTTGAGCTGTTATTTTGACTAGATCCCTCACTGACTCCACCTTCATTCCAAAGCCCAGACTGTTTCACTTTTAAATCTATCCCTACCATACTTATGACATGTTTTCTAACCAATAGCCCTCACCTGTGCTCAGACTATCACCCACAAGTACAATTTTCCTTCAAAGAACTTCCTTCTATATTACATGGGAGGAACTTCCTGTAAGAAACAAATTTCCTCTCCACCTTTAAACACACCCATGCTGAGAAACCTGTAGAACACTTTATAACAGCTCCTTGTTAGCCACTGTTATTACCTTAAACATAATTAGATCTGTTAGCTTTTCCCTCCTGCTTCTCTTAGCTGCATAAGTCAGTTGCCTCTCCTGATACACATAGATTGCAAGCATTTTGGGATGTAGGTCCTCTTTTTACATGCTAATAAAAGGTCTAAAATAATATAACCCACTCTGGGTGCCAATGCAATACAAGTAAATTTTACTACCTGGTACATTAGAATAAACAGCATTAAATGGATGCAGAATAATTTCAGGAGTTAATGACAACTCCAATATCCCCAGCAGTCATATTTATCAAATGCTTAAAAATTAAAAAAATAAGAAAGACTATATTAATTGTACATTCTTTTAAATGTACCTGGGGTGCAGAGGGATTTGGCTGAAGTGATTGTAGTGCAGCTGGCCATCATCTTTGAAAACTCATGGTGATTGGGAAAGGTCCTGGATGATTGAAAAAGGGCAAATAGGAGAGAATCCAACACAGGGCAATGAAAATGGTTCAGGGGCTAGGGCACATGACTCATAAGGAGAGGTTGAGGGAACTAAGCTTATTTAGTCTACAGAAGAAAAGACTGAAAGGGGATTTAACAACAGCCTTCAACTACCCAACAACACACCACCAACCCGGCGCGGGGGGGGGGGGGGGGGGGGGGGGTTTGAAAGGGAATGGAGCTAGACCAGAGGCAGGCAAAATACAGCCCACGGGTCACATCTGCCAGGCAATTTTATCCAGCCTGCTGGCACCCAACAATTAACTGTACCCCACCCAGCTCACATGCCTCACTCCCACCCTTGTGCGCAGAAGGGCCCAACCTAGACAACACACAAAGCTTCCAGGCAGTGCTGCTTCACAGAGTATGGGGCTGGGACTGGCGCAAGTGCAGAGCCTGTGCCCAAGGGGGCAGCAGGATCAAGGAGCTTGGGTAGGCAGGATGTGGGTGTGTGGGATTTATGAGGGTGGGTAGAAGGGGTGTGGGGACCCCCCCACACACCCTCTCCCCCTCTAGTGCACAGCCCCTGCCACCAGCAGCAGCAGGCCCTTGGGGTTCTCATGGCCATTCTGGGAGCTGCACATGGAGGCAAGGAGCAGAGCCAAACCAAGCCAGCCTGCTTCTTTTGAGCAGGGTTCCCCATGGCACACATGCAGCTCCCAGCACTCGCGCATCACTGTGGGGAAGCAGGGACCAGGGCCAGGCCGCCAGCTCCACTGCACAGGGCTTCCCCTCAATGGCATGCAAGTGCCAGGAGCTACACGAGCACTGCAGTGAGCCCCATGAGATAGAGGCAGACCAGCCTGGCTCCATTCTATGCTACCACGTTCAGCTCCCATAACTGGCCAGCAGTAGGGGCTGTGTTCTGGGGGGCGGGGGGGGGGGGGGGTGGGCGGGCAC